AAACTAACCTTTTCACTTGAACACAGAAATAGCCCCAGGAATCGGACAGACCTGTGTCTTTAGGTTTGTTTCATTGAGCCCCAGGGGTTGACAGTAGTACCTTGGGGACTGCCTGCATGGGGATTTTTTTAAAAGCGTTCTTTGTTAAAGGTTTGTAAACCACCCCTCTGAGCCAGTTTTCATTTTATACATTACTGCAGGAAACTGAACTGCATGGAGGTCCAGAAAGTGGATAGTGCAGGGTGTAGTGCTGATAACTACTGTACTTCTTGGATCTTCGTGCTCCCAAATACCAAATGGAAGACAATCTCTGAGAGTCCTTTGCAAAGATCTTGTAGGGACTTTAGGCTGGGGCCTTTGGAAAGTTCCTGAGGATTCCAATGGAGATTTTGAGGGATTATCTTAGAACAACAAAGAGAATGATAATGGTGATGTCCCTGCTTTTTACAACAGATCATGTTGTGCTATATATGCAAACCTGTGTAAAGTAAACCCTATCTAAAATGCGCTGGGGACCCAAGGTGGACTGCCTGTATTGCTTCAGGATAAAGTCCAATTTCTAGCTCTGGTTTTTATAACCTTGCTTCAGCTCACCTTTTCCATCATCATCTCCTCTCCCACGCTGGGAAATGGATGGCTCCACTATACTGTGTGATGTTACTGCTATGTTCATGCCGTCCCCTCTGCCTGGAATGCCCTTCTGCATGAATGCCTGTGAAATGTTGCTGCTCCTTTGTATGGCCTGGCTTCCATGGTTGGCAGGAATCTCTTCTTTTGTGGTATTCCTGCCATCTTTGTGCATCACAGTCAGCTTCGTATTCCTAGATTGTAAGCTGCTTGAGGATAGGGGCATGTCTTGCACCTGTTTGGCAAATTGATGTTTAAAGTATTTAAATAACTAAAGCTCTCTCTACAGTAGATAGTCACTTTTGATTTATGGAATTGGCAAAATTAAACTTTTTTCCTTGAATATTCTTAAAGTGAGACTAATTCCAAAGGAGATTTTTCTGTCTGTGGCCTTCATTGGGTGGTTTGCTGTTATCAGAAAGCTCTTAGTGGCCTTCCTCTTCCCTGGTGTCAAGGTTGACTGTAATAGGAAATGGGAGGGGAGAGGGCCATTTCTGCCAGGCATTGTCATAGGTTCTTAACATTATATAATCCTTATAATGCAATGTTTTCCTCACTTTACAGATGAAACCTGAGACCAGAGAACATGTAACATGTAAAGTACGTGGCAGAATTAGGATGTGAACCCAACTCTGATTCTAAACCTAATGCTCTTACTCTTTCATTCAGAGGTTCAGTCAGTTCTTTGTAGGCCATAGATCCAGAGAAGCTGCTGTAGCCAACAATAAAGTTGTTAGTTTTTAAAACATCTATATGGTGTTGGTCTGGCACTTAAAAATGTATTGTTTGCTGGGCACGGTGGCTCACACCTGTAATCCCAGCACTTTGGGAGGCCAAGGTGGGCGGATCACGAGGTCAAAAGATCGAGACCATCCTGACCAACATGGTGAAACCCCGTCTCTACTAAAAATTAGCTGGGTGTGGTGGCACATGCCTCTAGTCCCAGCTACTCGGGAGTCTGAGGCAGGCGAATCACTTGAACCCAGGAGGCAGAGGTTGCAGTGAGCCGAGATCTTGCTACTGCACTCCAGCCTGGCAACAGAGCGACACTTCGTCTAAAAAAAAAATAAATGTGTTGTTTACTACTCACCACAGATCTGCAGGAGTTCACTGATCTTTAGGGTCTGCCTTAATGCCAACTTACGTGGTTTGGTCACTATTACAAACCGTCATCCCAGAATGATGATGCAGAGGCTAGGGCTAGGACCCAGACCAGTGTTTCCACGTGGGAATTCCCTACCAGTATTTCTTCGGAAATGTATGTTTTTTGAATCCATAAACCCTAGAAAAATCAGTTGAGGAAATGAGAAGTATTGTAATTATTCTGTGAATACTAACACTTACCATTATAGAGACATTACTAGTTTGAAAGAATCCAACTTCATCAAATACTAACATACTGAATTGAAGGCTGTAAGAACTGAGACAGGAGTATAGCAGAGAGAAACAGTCACCATCTAATTAGCCCTACTTTTGGTTGCTGTGATGTCATTATGTCTGTATGTCTGGCCATATCAGCTGCTAATGGTGAGTTCTTGCAAATAAAATGATTTGATAAACAACCTAGCATACTTTATACAAATCTTATGGTGTTCTGAGAAATAAACTGTGGAAGCAAAATAAGTTAACAGTCTGGACACGATTGATTCTATATTCTGTTTACCTTGCTTTAGGATATTCAAATGTTATATTTATTTGAATGCTATCCAATATACGTTGCCTGGTATCTTCCTGTCTTTTAAATATTCTCTGTACGCTACAGTTCTTTGTAAGTAAAAATAGGCTTAATATGTCTACTTAGTAAACAGAGTGTTTCCAGATACCTATGATAATGAAGAAAAGAGTATAAAGAATGAAGTATTTTAAGAATAACTTATGATTTGGGGGATTTCTGAGAATTCTACTTCCTAAATTCCAAAGGTAAATGTTAGTTGTGAATTTGGAAATACTAGACTACAGAGAAGCAGGCACTCTCTAGCCTGGGAGGCCCACTGATCTTAGGAGGGTCCATACAGCTGCTTCTTGTAGACCTTGCACTAGAACCCAGGTCTTTTGACACCTGGTGCCACTTTTCATTCCATTCCATTAATTATAGCCCAGAGAATAACCACCGCCCCCCCAACTCCCATTGTGGTTTTATTCTGAGGACAGATAAAAGATTGAAGCTGATGGAGTGGTAGAAAGAAGTGGGAGCCATAGTGAATGAAGACGTTTAAGGGCAGATGTTACCACCACTAAGCCCTTCACTCGGGATTACAGGCTACACTTTACCCCTCAAACTGTAGAATTCAGTGGAATCCATGGCCTTTACCTCTCTATAGATGACCTTTTTCCTACCCCTTCACATCTCCTGTTTTTTTCCTCTCCAAACTGCCCTAGATTTAGAGGTTTATTTTGAAGTAATAATCACACACAGCGAAGTCTCTCCCAACACCTGGGGAGCAGATGTGCTGGGATTATCACTGGCATTTGAAGGGTGAGAAAACTGAAGGAAAGGAATCTGACTAAAGTGGCACAGGTTAGAACTAGCAGAGTCAGGTCTAGAACTCATTTCATATTTCTAGAATTGTGTGATGATGCACTGATAAAGTTCTTTGGTGCCTGGACCTAAGTATTATAGTAGGGTCAATTTCTAAGTTCATTTTCCGTCTTTTACCTCTCAGTGGCCCTCAACTAATGTTTTTTGCCCCCACAGGTCGGGTACTCGCAAAAGATTCCATATTCTCTCTGGCAGTAGGGATGAGAATGTTGCTAGCAGTGGTAAGAGTGGCAAGGTGGCCAGAGGACAGGGTCCTGCCATTCCTTCTCAGCCTCCAGTAAACCAAGAGCAAAAGCCAGAGCCAATTCCTTCTGATACTCAGCAGCTAACTCATTACAGGGAAGACAGGTGATTGTGCAAAGGGAGCTTTTAAATCATAAAACAGACACATCAATTATAACTTTAACAAATGTTATTAAAAGCAGCAATTAAAAACCATGAATCTTTTTGAAGGTGCAGAGGGTTATAAGGTCAGTTGGCAGTAATGCAGCTATTATCTGGTATGAATGAAATGCTGGGGTGGGCAGTCAGGGTGACCTCATTAGGCTTTGTGCTATCTTCCCAGGTGGTGAAGACACCCCTTCCCCGCTTTTCCCTCTCCAAGCCCAGAGCCTCCCCAGAGCCCAGGTAGGGAAGGTCCAGGTGTACTGTAACAGGATTGCTCGTCCCAGGCTATCTCAGAAGTCTGGAAAGCAGGTGGTTGCTGGGCTCTCTGAAGCCAGGCAGGAAGCTACAAATTGAATCCCAGGTCCCACAGCACCCCTGGGCTAGGGGCTGGCTTCTCAGCTCCCCTTCCACCTGGCCCCAGTTGGCCCCTGTGGCAGCAGCTGTGGGGCTGAGAAGGGGGAAGAACTGGGCCCAATGCCAGCTTATCTATGCCTGGGCTGTGCCAGGGAAGCAGAGGAAAGTGGGTGGGCGGTGCACAGGAGGTGAGGTCCCCCTTAAAAGGCACTGTGGGAGCTGAGGTCTAAGAAGGGGGACATCTAAACTATCTCAGGGACCCCCTGAACGCTCACAGGTAGAGAGGCGTCAGGCCTAGTAATGGAAAAACAGCTCCTGCAGGTCTGCTGCCCCACCAGTGCCTCTTGCTCTACCACCACCTTCGCCTTCCTGCTGGTGGCCTGCAAAACCAGCCAAGCTGGAGGCCACAGCAGCAGTTGGCAAGGCTGGTCCCCATCTGGTGCCCACCCTCCACGTCAAGGCACTTTTGTCCACTTTCCAATCAAGTGAGTCAGTTTCTAATATCTCTGGAAGCAGCAAAACATGAGGGGTCCTCTTCCCCCTCCCAATTTTGGTTTCCCTCCAGATGAGGCAGAATTTGAATGTTGTTCCAAAAATTCTCTTTCAAACCCCCACTGGCAAGGGCTTCCCTTTGAGGGAACTGAATGATGCAGGCCCTTTAAAAATTTCAACCTATCCCAAAAAGTGATTGTCCATTTCAGGGCAGGGCAAGGGATATGAAAGAGGGTGAGTCCCCTGTGCTTCCCTATGGAACCAAAGCTGGTTGATGGGCTGAAAGAAGGGGCGGGAGCTGAGCTTTCACATTTAGTTGCAGCACTTGGGCCCTGGAAGTGGGCCAAGAGAAAGCCAAGGGAGGAGCCAGCAGGCCCAGAGGGACTGTGTGGCTCTGTGTGTGAGTACACTTGGGCATGTGGTGGTGTGGCCGTGTGGGGCTGTCTGCGTGCCTGGAGCTGAAAGTACAACACATGTGGATGGAAACTTGTGGGAGTGGGTGTATATTGTCTGCTGTGTGGTGTCTGGTGGGTCTAGGGGTGGGAGGCACCAGAAACAGGTTTAGCATGACATGGTTTCCCTCCTACCACCACTGCCCAGCCCCGTCCCCCAGGTCTGGAAGGATGCCTCCATTCCAGCAAGGCCAGGCCCAGCTCTATGGAGACTGAGGGGGTGTGGCCAAAGCTCACACTGGCAGCCTTCACTCTCAGCCTGGACCCTGGTGCTGGTGCCTTCTGAAGCAGACCCAGCCCTTCACTCTTCAGATCCTCGCAGGCTTTCACAGGGGCTTTCTCCCACCCTACCACCTCTCTCCAAGGGCAGTGGGGAGTGGCAGGAAAGTGGAAGAGAACAGCGCTGAGCGCCATCCTCTTATCCATCTTCTCCCAGGCTCTCTCAAAGGTGCCTGTTATGTAGTCCCTGGGAGGACTGGCTGCCCCACGGGTCAGGTGTAAAGGGTATCCAGTGGAGGGACAGCTGTGCACACACAGGATGTGCAAACACACCCAAAAAGGGGCGAGAGAGGTCAAGGCACACAACTGGGGACAAAGACCTGGGCCTCAGGAGGAAGGGTCCCAGAGCAGGGGACTCAAGGTCAGAGGAACAGATAAACAGAGTTTGAGGGGTTGTGGAGTGTGTAGAGACACAGGCACAGGGGTAACGAGCCCGAGGAGGCCCTGGAACGGAGCTGGTACAGCAGAGAGACGGAGGCCTTGGCCTGGCAGGCAGGCAGGGCCTTCTGCCAGGCACTTGCAGCTCTGTCCTGCTTCCTTCTGCCACCCCAGCCTGGAGAAAGCTGGGGAGCCTATGGCTTCTGCTGCTCCTCCTTTGGTTTTCAGGACCCCTGGCACCCCTGGGGGCTAGTCAGTAAGGGGTGGTCCCTTCCCACTCCACCAGGTACTGAACCTTGCCCTCAGGTGTGACCCTCCGAGCCAACACCTGGTACTTCTCCCCACAGGCCAATCGCCCAGCTGCACCAAAGTAGTTGGTGATAGATGACTTGAGGTGGGACAGGGATGAGTCATCTTCACTGATGCTCTCAAATGTGTGGCTGTCAATGCCTTCGTCTGGCCGCTCAGGGACCGAAGCCCCCTCTGCACTGCTGTCCGAGGGGCAGCGTCCATCCAGCTCAGCTGCCCACCGCTTTGCCCGCAGGGGCATGTATGCCTTGGCTGCCAGCTTCCTCTTTCTGCTGCCCACTGTCCATCTGTATCAGGAGTGAGAGAGGAAGATGATGAGAATGAGATAGAACCATCAGGGTAGATTCCTCTCCCTGAGCCCTCCCCTCAGTACCAGGAAAGTGGAAGAGAACAGCGCTGAGCGGCATCCTCTTATCCATCTTCTCCCAGGCTCTCTCAAAGGTGCCTGACATGTAGTCCCTGAGATAATCTATTCCCAAGGCATAGATTATCTCACCAGATCCTCACAAGAGCCCTGCGAGGAGGGAAACTGAAGGTCCAGAGGAGAAAACCAGGTAGGGTGTGGCAGAGCCAGGATTCAAACCTATGAACGTCCAACTCCAAAGCATATGCTCTTACAGCCAGGATCCCAGCACTGCAAAAGCACAAGAGCACCGTTCTCTGAGCCTCCTGAGGCCATGCAGTGCAGGCGCCCTGCTTATCCTGCCTTGCCGCTCGCCAGACTCGTGGAACTAGACAGGTCACATAGGGCTGGGGGTTAGGGACTGAAGGACCCTATACCCCAGACCCTGGATGGAGAGGTTGACAGACACATACACATACACACACACACACACACACACACACACACAGAGGTGTTAGAGAAATAGACACACAGACACACAGGGCAAGGCACAGATTCAGATGCTTAGAGACAGAAATCGAGACCTGAAGTGCTGGTGAAACCAAAGAAACAGGAAGAAACAGGCCAGGCATGGTGGCACACACCTGTAGTCCCAGCTACTCGGGAGGCTGAGGCATGAGAATCACTTGAGCCTGGCAGGCGGAGGTTGCAGTGAGCTGAGATCATGCCACTGCACTGTAGTCTGGGCAACAGAGCGAGACTGTCTCAAACCAACCAACCAACAAACAGGAAGAAAGAAAAATACAGAGGCAACAGCAGAGGACACCTAGACAGATGTCAAGAGACACAGACTCCAAGACAGATCTCTACAGGTACTATACCATTGTACTTTTTTTTTTTTTTTGAGATGGAGTCCCACTCTGTCACCCAAGTTGGAGCACAGTGGCACGATCTCAGCTCACTGCAACCTCCACTTCCCCAGTTCAAGTGATTCTCTTGCCCCAGCCTCCTGAGTAGCTGGGATCACAGGCACGCGCCACCATGTCTGGCTAATTTTTTTTGTATTTTTAGCAGAGGCGAGGTTTCATCATGTTGGCCAGGCTGCTCTCAAACTACTGACCTCAGGTATCTGCCCACCTCGGTCTCCCAAAGTGCTGGGATGACAGGCATGAGCCACAGTGCCTGGCCAGGCATTATACTTTTAATTCTACTTTTGCAAGGGTCTCAAATATCTTAAAATACAGTGCAGCCTGAGTGCAGAGGAAATCCCTGTGCTCGACCACTCCCCATACTGCTGAGGACCAGCTGTTGCCAGACCAGCTGTATTGGAGATAGGCCCTCAGGGATTTCTGTCCCCACTCCTAAATCTTCCACCCTGCAGGACGCCATCTTCTGTCTTCCCCTCTGTCAGGCTTCTAAATAAATGGCTCTTTCCCTTAGAGACTCCAGAAGACAGGCACCATATTCAGACAGCCAAGAATCAAGGTCAGGGAATCTTGTAGTCCAAGAGGCAGAGACATGCAAGCTCATGGCATGCAGAGGCCAAAAGTGAAAGAACCTCTGGTCCAACAACCCCAGAACTGGAATCGTCCAGTGGGAGGTGTTGTACAACCTTCTGCAGCAGGTGAAGCATTCCAAAGGGATGGAACCACGGGAGCCTGAATGCCTGTACTTAGATCCCATCTAAAGCCCCGTGACTCAGAACCAGAGGGTCCGAGAGCCAGACTCACAATTGCAGAAGGCCAGGTATGACCCACACATTACAGAAGTGGGAAGTGGAGGGGCTGGGAGGAATGATGGTCCTGGCAAAATGTGAACGCCAGACCTCCAGGAAGCTCACCTGGAGTCATAGGAGAGGCTGGTGGAGGCAGAGCCCGAGGTGCTGGCAGCGTCGGTGGAGTCGACATCTGAGAAGAAGGTCTGGCCTGAGCTGGCACTGAGAGGGGCAAGATGGTGAGCCTGCTGGTGGCCCGGCCAGCAAGGTCCTGCCAGCCTGGCCCACAGGGTCCCCTAACATGCATCCTTCATCCCAGTGGAGGCCCATCTTCCCACAGCTGAGCTTCCCACCACCACACCTGTCTGTTTCCTACACAGCCACCCTTTAACCCTTCAAAGTCCAAGAAGTCAAGAAAACCTCCCAGGGCACCCTTCCCTGGTGGTGACGTAAGCACTGGTGCCAGTAACTCGAGCGTGATCCGAGGCACCTGTGCAACACTTCACAGGTCAAGAGTGCTTTCATTTGCATTATCTTGTTTGAGGAAAATAGCTGAGGAGGTTCAGAGAAGTTAAGGAATTTAGGTAAAGCAACATAGCTAGTACTGATAAACAGGGTCTGGAGCTCAGGTCTGACTCTAAAGCCCTCCTGTGTCCTCAGGAAAATACTAAATGACCTTTAATAATTTGGGAAATAAAATGATGGAAGATGCAGTTCCTCCCTTGGGCGTACTTAAGTACGGGGTGCTGTGGAATACAAAGGAGGGCATCCAGCTCAGCCTGGGGAGGGTTAGTGAAGCCTTCCTGGAAGAAGCAGAGTCCTGAGTTTTCAGATGGGCTAGGGCAAGGCAAAGGCTATTTCAGGCAGAGGGAGCAACATGAGCAAAGATGAGCAGGCATCAAACAGCATGGTGAATGTGGATAACCATGGGGCGAGGCGGGGAGAAGCAGGAGGGGAGGGCTGGAGAAGAGGGGAGGGCTGGAGAAGTGGGGAGGGCTGTGGTGCTCTGGGAACAGGGATGTTATGCTGAAAGCTCTACTGCAAAAAGCCCCTGCAGGCAGACTCGCGCAGCAGGGATCCTTTTCACTGGGGGCTTGGCTTTCTGCTTGCTTCCCTCCCTGTCTCCAGAGCAGACTTCTCCACTAGGTCCCTCACTGATACCTTTTTAAACTTTGAATTTCATCCAGCGTGAAGTCAAATATGCTAGCCAGGTGGTGGTTGGTGCTCCAGGCTGAGGTGAAGTCACTCTGTGGACACAGGAAGGAGAGAGGGAGGGTCAGATAGTGAGTATCAAATCCGCCTCCCACACAGGCTGCCTCCTATCCAGCCAGGGCCGCTGAGGGCTGGGCCCTTCCTAGGGTAAGACCATCACTTTTATTCTAAGTGCTGACCAGGGAGCCAAGTCATCCCAGTTCTAGCCCTGCCTTTGTCTCTAGCTGACTGTATGACTTTCACCTCTCTGGACCTCAGTTACTTCGACTGCAAAATGGGGACAATAACCCCTGCCTTGCTTTACTCTTAAGAGATGTCAGGGCCAGGCGTGGTGGCTCACGCCTGTAATCCCAGCACATTGGGAGGCTGAGGTGGGCGGCTCACGAGGTCAGGAGATCGAGACCATGCTGGCTAACATGGTGAAACCCTGTCTCTACTAAAAATACAAAAAATTAGCCAGGTGTGGTGGCGGGCGCCTGTAGTCCCAGCTACTCAGGAGGCTGAGGCAGGAGAATGGAGTGAACCCCAGAGGCGGAGCTTGCAGTGAGCCGAGATGGCGCCACTGCACTCCAGCCTGGGTGACAGAGCGAGACTCCGCTTTCAAAAAGAAAAAAAAAAAAAAAGATGTCAGGAAGTGCAGTAAAATTAAATACTGCTTCTAAACCGCAAAGTGCTGGGACATGAGGCATTGCTAGGATTACTGCCCACAGGGAGGGGGCTTCAGGGAGGAGGTGGGGTTACTGAAGGAGGAAAGAAAGTGCTCTGAAATCCTGGTTCCAGGCTGGGCTCTGCCACCTTGATGTGTGGTCTCAGGAAAGTCACTGCCCCACCCTTCCCTCAGTGTCCCTACCTGGACAGTGGGGACAAGAATATTACCTGCCGTTGTACCCCAACTTTGGGTTCCTGGGAGAACTTGGGGGGAGATAAAGCAGGGGTCTTGGAGTGCCTGGCTTAGCTGTAATATGGACTGGCTTCTCCTTTAAGGGACATGAGAGAGTTCTCTGGGCCTGGGGGACTTAGTTTTCGGCACAGGAAGCCCTAACATGTGCTGACCCTGTGTATGAAAATGGAGAGTAAGAAAACAAGGAACTAACACTGGGAATTGCATCTTCCAGCAAAAACTTTGATCTTTTTCTTCTATAAACTCGCCTTTTCTGCTGCTGGAATTCGTGAGGCAACAAACTGTGGAGACAGAAGAGGGAGAAGGTGGCCCCGTCAGAGCCTGAGGGCCCTAGGATGGCCCAGAGGGAGGCGCCGCAGGGGCGGGGGTCACAGCAGTTGGGGAGACAGGCTCTGAACACAGCTGCACCTTCACAGGGAGGCCTGGGGAGGAGGGAGAATCCTTGGGGGCAGTAGGGGTGGGAGGGTGTGGAGAGGGTATAGTGGGCAGAAAAAGAAAAGGTGCCTCCCCAGGCACGTGCATCCAGTTGCCCGGCCCCCCAGTGCCAGGATGAGGGGGCTCAGATGAGCCAGGAGAGCGAGGGACCCCTCACACACACTGCCTTCCCCTTCACCTCCTTGCCCAAGTCCTAATCCAGCAAGGCTGGGTCTTCAGATCTGGCTTTTCCTCCCTGCGAGGCAATGAGCGGGCTGTGGTGGTGAAAGGAGTTGGGGATCTGGGATCTGGGATCCTGCTCAGCCACTACCTAGCCCTCTCAGGGTCCTACAGCTGGGACTGGCTGGGTGCAGGTCCTCCTTGCTTGCTTGGAAGCAGAGAAACCGAGTTTGGCGGCAGCCCTGGCCCCTGGGTCCCCGAGCACTGACCCAGGCTTGCTCTTTCCTCTCTTACGCAGCTCAGAGGAGGTGCTGTTCTCATTTGGCAGCAGTCCCTTGTCAGGCAGCAGCTTCCCTGGCGGGTTCGGTGGGACGCGGATGCGCAGGCGGAAGATGCACTTCTTCTTCTTGATCTCCTTGCCGCAGAGGAACCTGGGGGGTGGGCAGCGGGAGAAGGAAGCTCTGGAGTCCATCAGTTCATCCTCCTGGGGAGTGGGGTCAAGCATGATACAAGCCTCTCTGCCTCCCTGGACCCAGAGCTAAAATCCGGATGCCTCTGGAGATGCTGATTTCCTCAAAGCCCATGGGATGCGGGGTTCCAGGTAGAAGATGAGAACACAGCTCGTGCCTCCTCCCTGTGCTTCCTCCTGCACAAGTATGGTTCTTGCTGCTCTTCTCCCTTTTGTTTGCCTCAACCAGCCCAAGGCCACCTCCTGCAGGAAGGCCTCCTCCACCTCACAGTGGAACTCCTGTGGTCAAGATACTGGAACCTACTTCATTCTTTTCTCTGGTTTTCCCAGGAGACTGAAAGCAACACTGGGTGGGCTGTCCTGAGGCTGAAGAAGTGACCCAGACACAGCCCTACCCTCTTTAGTACAAGAGGCCCCCTGCCATCCCAATGGACAGTCCTCCATTAGAAGGGCAGGGGGCCTCTTGTACTGAAGAGCAGGGCTTTGTCTGGGCCCTAAACCATGAGAATGTGGAAGAGAGTGGGTAATTCTGCCTAGAGGTGTCTGGAAGAGTTTCAGGGATGAGGACCTTGTTTTATTCCCCACTATGACCTTAGCACCCAGACAGGCCCGACATAGAACAGCAAATCAATGAATACTTGTTGATGGAACAAATGAGTAAAAAAGACTGAAGCACATCCTAGGCAAAGGGCAGAGCATGAGTAAAAGCACCAGGTGGGAAACCAAGGGCTCAGGATGGCTGGCACCCAGAATACAGAAAGCAAAGGGACAGTGGCAGAGGACACGGGCACAGCCTGGTTTTAAAAGGCCTTGAGTGCCAGGTTCAGGAGCCTTGGCATGCCTCTGTGGTGTGGTGAGGGACGTGACCAGCTGTGTGTACTGAGAACTCTGGATGGGAAGGCAGGGGCTGAGGGATGGGTCAGGAGGCTGTAGCCCACCTCAGATGATGCACCCATCCCTCAGTGCCTGGCCCATAAGGCCTAGATGTCTAGAGCAGGAGGGGCCTTCAGAGAGCAGGGGTGCGGCTCTCCCTACAGAGCTGAGCCCAGTACCAAAATGTAGCAGGCTGCTGGGGTGGTTGGAGTGGCTGTGCAAAGGAGGTGGGGTGCTCCCTAGATCTTGGAGAATGGAAATGATTCAGAGAGAAGGGGAGGAGGACCCAGGCAGGGAGCACAGCCTGAGCAAAGGCTATGAGGTAGGAAGAAATCTCACCTGTAGATGGCCCCACCACGCTCCCTCCCCACCCTGCACGCACCGGCTTTTGTAACTATTCAGAGCGTTGAGGAGATGCGGTCCTCGATCTGTCACAGGGGTGCTGGTGAGCTGTGGGAGAACAGGCCAGCAGAACATCAGACCCAGGCACATGGCGCGTGGGGAGGCCCCAGCCCCTACTCCCTCCCTTCCATCTCCTGATGCTTCTGAGTCCTCCAGGTGAGGACCACTGACTCACTCCAGGATCTCAGATAAGCCTTTTCACCTTTCCAAGTTCATTCCCATCTGTAAATGGAGAGAATACCTCCTGACCATGTATTGGGAGCTTTAAAAAGTCCATACCCTTGACCCAGTAATGATACTCCATGGAATCTATCATGGAATCTAT